AGTTCTCCTTAAAGAGGTCCCTCACATCCCTTGCAAGTTGGATTCCTAGGTATTTTATTCCCTTTGTAACAGTTGTAAATGAGAGATTACTTATGATTTGACTGTTTGTCTGTTATTGGTGTATAGGAATGCTTGTGATTTCTGCACATTGATTTTGTATCTTGAGACCTTTGCTGAAGTTGCTTATCAGCTTAAGGAGATTTTGGGCTGAGACAATGGGGTTTTCTAAATATACAATCATGTCATCTGCAAACAGGAAAAATTTGACTTCCTCTTTTCCTAGTTGAATACCCTTTATTTCTTTCTCTTGCCTGATTGTCTTGGCCAGAATTTCCAACACTATGTTGAATTTCCAACACTATGTTCAACTCTATGTTGAAGTAGTATGTTTTTATAATTTTGATTTACATTTCCCTAATGACTAGTGATGTTAAGCATCTTTTTATGAGCTTGTTTACTATTAGTATAATTTCCTTGGAGAAATGTCTATTCAAATCATTTGTCGATTTTTAAATTGCATCATTTGTCTTTTTGTTATTGAGTAGTAAAAGTGCTTTATATATTCTAGATACAAGTTCTATATTAGATACATGATTCACAAATTTTCCTCCCATTTTTTGGATTGTCTTTTCATTTTCTTGAAGGTATCCTTCAAAGTACAAACATTTTTAGTTGTTTTTTTTTTAGGTGAGAGAGGGCATCCTTGCCTTGTGCCTGTTTTCAAAGGGAATGCTTTCAGTTTTTGCCCATTCAGTATGATACCGGCTGTAAGTTTGTCATAAATAGCTCTTATTATTTTGATATCTGTTCCATCAATATCTAGTTTATTGAGAGTTTTTAGCATGAAGGGCTGCTGAATTTTGTCAAAGGCCTTTTCTGCATCTATTGAGATAATCATGTGGTTTTCGTCATGGTTCTGTTTATTTGATGCATTACATTTATTGATTTGCATATGCTGAACCAGCCTTGCATCCCAGGGATGAGGCTGACTTGATCGTGGTGGATAAGTTTCTTGATGTGCTGCATTTGGTTTGCCAGTATTTTATTGAGGATTTTCATATCGATGTTCATCAGGGATATTGGTCTAAAATTCTCTTTTTTTGTTGTGTCTCTGCCAGGTTTTGATATCGGGCTGATGCTGACCTCATAAAATGAGTTAGAGACGATTCCCTCTTTTTTGATTGGGATAGTTTCAGAAGGAATAGTAATAGTTCCTCTTTGTACCTCTGGTAGAATTCAGCTGTGAATCCATCTGGTCCTGGACTATTTTTGATTGTTAGGCTATTAATTATTGCCTCAATTTCAGAGCCTGTTATTGGTCTATTCAGAGATTCAACTACTTCCCAGTTTAGTCTTGGGACAGTGTATGTCACCAGGAATTTATCCATTTCTTCTAGATTTTCTATTTTATTTGCATAGAGGTGTTTATAGTAGTCTCTGATGGTAATTTGTATTTCTGTGGGATCAGTGGTGATATCCCCTTTATCATTTTTTATTGTGTCTATTTGATTCTTCTCTCTTTTCTTCTTTATTAATCTTGCTAGTGGTCTATTTTATTGATCTTTTCAAACAACCAGCTCCTGGATTCCTTAATTTTTTTGAAGGATTTTTTTGTGTCTATATTGCCTTTAGTTCTGCTCTGATCGTAGTTTTTTTGTTTTGTTTTGTTTTGTTTTGTTTGCCATCTGCTAGTTTTCGAATGTGTTTTCTCTTGCTTCTCTAGTTCTTTTAATTGTGATGTTAGGGTGTCAATTTTAGGTCTTTCCTGCTTTCTTCTTGTGAGCATTTAGTGCTATAAATTTCCCTCTACATACTGTTTTAAATGTGTTCCAGAGATTCTGGTATGTTGTGTCTTTGTTCTCATTGGTTTCAAAGAACATCTTTATTTCTGCCTTCATTTCGTTACTTACCCAGTAGTCATTCAGGAGTGGGTTGTTCAGTTTCCATGTAGTTGAGAGGTTTGAGTGAGTTTCTTAACCCTGGGTTCTAATTTGATTGCACTGTGGTCTGAGAGACAGTTTGTTCTGATTTCTGTTCTTTTACATTTTCTGAGGAGTGCTTAACTTCCAACTGTGTGGTCAATTTTAGAATAAGTGTGATGTGGTGCTGAGAAGAACATACATTCTGTTGATTTGGGGTGTAGAGTTCTGTAGATGTCTATTAGGTCTGCTTGGTGCAGAGTTGAGTTCAAGTCCTGGATAACCTTGTTAACCTTCTGTCTTATTGATCTGTCTAATATTGACAGTGGGATATTAAAGTCTCCCATTATTATTGTGTGCGAGTCTAAATCTCTTTGGAAGTCTCTAAGTACTTACTTTATGAATCTGGGTGCTCCTGTATTAGTTGCATATATATTTAGGATACTTAGCTCTTCTTGTTGAATTGATCCCTTTACCATTATGTAGTGGCCTTCTTTGTCTCTTTTGATCTTTGTTGTTTTATCAAGTCTGTTTTATCAGAGACTAGGATTGCAACTCCTGCTTGTTTTTGCTTTCCATTTGCTTGGTAGATCTTCCTCCATCCCTTTATTTTGAACCTATGTGCATCTCTGCACATGAGATATGTCTCCTGAATACAGCACACTGATGGGTCTTGAATCTTTATCCAATTTGCCAGTCTGTGTCTTTTAATCGGGGCATTTAGTCCATTTACATTTAAGGTTAATATTGTTATGCGTGAATTTGATCCTGTCATTATGATGTTAGCTAATTATTTTGCCCATTAGTTGATGCAGTTTCTTCATAGTATCGATGGTCTTTACCATTTGGCATGTTTTTGCAGTGGCTGATACCAGTTGTTACTTTCCATATTTAGTGCTTCCTACAGGAGCTCCTGTAAGGCAGGCCTGGTGGTGACAAAATCTCTCAGCATTTGCTTGTTTGTAAAGGATTTTATTTCTCCTTCACTTATGAAACTTAGTTTGGTTAGATATGAAATACTGGATTGAAAATTATTTTCTTTATGAAGGTTGAATATTGGCCCCCACTCTCTTCTGGCTTGTAGGGTTTCCACCAAGAGATTCACTGTTAGTCTGATGGGCTTCCCTTTGTGGGTAACTCGACCTTTCTCTCTGGCTGCTCTTAACGTTTTTTCCTTCATTTCAACCTTGGTGAATCTGACAATTATGTGTCTTGAGGTTGCTCTTCTCGAGGAGCATCTTTGTGGTGTTCTCTGTATTTCCTGAATTTGAATGTTGGCCTGCCTTGCTAGGTTGGGGAAGTTCTCCTGAATAATATCCTGATGAGTGTTTTCCAACTTGGTTCCATTCTCCCTGTCACTTTCAGGTACACCAATCAAACACAGACTTGGTCTTTTCACATAGTCCCATATTGCTTGGAGGCTTTGTTTGTTTCTTTTTACTCTTTTTTCTCTAACCTTGTCTTCTCACTTTATTTCATTAACTTGATCTTCAATCCCTGATATCTTTTCTTCCACTTGATCAAATTGGCTATCGAAACTTGTGCATGCATCACAAAGTCATCATTTCATGATTTTCAGCTCCATCAAGTCATTTAAGTTCTTCTCTACACAGTTTATTCTAGTTAGCCATTCATCTAATGTTTTTTCAAGGTTTTTAGCTTCCTTGTGATGGCTTCAAACATGCTTCTTTAGCTTGGAGAAGTTTGTTGTTACCAACTTTCTGAAACCTACTTCTGTCAACTCATCAAAGTCATTCTTTGTCCAGCTTTGTTCCCTTGCTGGTGAGGAGTTGCAATCCTTTGGAGGAGAAGAGTCACTCTGGCTTTTAGAATGTTCAGCTTTTCTGTTCTGACTTCTCCCCATCTTTGTGGTTTTATCTACCTTTGGTCTTTGATGTTGGTGACCTACAGACGAGGTTTTGGTGTGGATGACCTTTTTGTTGATGTTGATGCTATTCTTTTCTGTTTGTTAGTTTTCCTACTAACAGTCAGGTCCCTCAACTGCAGGTCTGTTGGAGTTTGCTGGAGGTCCACTCCAGACACTGGTTGCCTGGGTATCACCAGCGGAGGCTGCAGAACAGCAAATATTGCAGAACAGAAAATATTGTTGCCTGATCCTTCCTCTGAAAGCTTCGTCTCAGAGGGGCACCCGCCTGTATGAAGTGTCTGTCAGTTCCTACTGGGAGGTGTCTCCCAGTTAGGCTACACGGGGGTCAGTGACCCACTTGAGGAGGCAGTCTGTTCATCTTCAGAGCTCAAATGCCATGCTAGGAAACCACTGCTCTCTTCAGAGCTGTCAGACAGGGATGTTTAAATCTGCAGAAGTTTCTGCTCCCTTTTGTTCAGCTATGCCCTGCCCCAAGAGGTGGAGTCTATAGAGGCAGCCTGCCTTGCTGAGCTGCGGTGGGCTCCATCCAGTTTGAGCTTCCTGGCTGTTTTACCTATTCAAGCCTCAGCAATGGTGAATGCCCATGCCCCAACCAGGCTGCCGCCTTGAAGGCCAATCTCAGACTGCTTCTCTAGCAGTCAGCAAGGCTCTGTGGGCTTGGGATCCACCAAGCCAGGCAAGGGAGAGAGTCTCCTGGTCTTCCAGTTGCTAAGACTGTGGGAAAAGTGCAATGTTTGGGTGGAAGTGTACCCATTTTTCAGGTACAGTCTGTCACAGATTCCCTTGGCTAGAAAAGGGAAATCCCCCAACCCCTTGCACTTCCCGCGTGAGGTGATGCCTCACCCTGCTTCAGCTCACCCTCTGTGGGCTGCACCCACTGTCCAACCAGTTTCAGTGAGATGAACCAGGTACCTCCATTGGAAATGCATAAATCACCCGTCTTCTGTGTTGATCACACTGGGAGCTGCAGATCAGAGCTGTTCCTATTCTGCTATCTTGGAATGGGAATTCTAAAATTCAGCAGCATGATTTCTAAGAGCCAAAAGTTAGAAATAACATGAATATCCATGAAGTGACTAACGAAAAAATAAAGTGTGGTCTCTTCATAAAATGGGATGTTATTTAGCAATAAAAAGCAACAAATATACTGATACATGCTACAACACCAATAAACCTTAAAATATTATGTTAAGTAAAAGAAGCAGAGACAAAAAGCCACGTATTTTATTACTCTGTCTGAAGTGTCCAGAATAGGAAAATTTGTTGGACATGAAAAGTAGAGAAGTTGCCTAGGGCTTGGGACAAAATGGGGTATGACTGCTCATTGGTATGGGATTTGTTTGGGGGCAGATCAAAGTGTATGAAAATAACTTGTCGCGATGATTTCACAACTCTGATAACTTACTAAAAACCAGTGAGTTGTACATTTTAAATGACAATTACGTTGTATGTGAATTGTGTCCCCATAAATCTATAAGAGAGAGAGAGAGAGCTTTCAATGGCTTCTGTACCATGTCCAAATTGTTTTGCCAGTCTTTCAAACCCCTCCATACTACAGAATCAGATTTCATACTATGCCTTTCTCCTTTCAAAATTATTTCCAACTGTATCAGTTTTCTATGCCTATGTGACAACCCACCCCCAAATTCAGCAGCTTAAAACAATAAACACATATTAATATTATCACAGGAATTCTGTAGACCAGAAATCTGGGAGTAACTTAGCTGGGTCCGTTGGCTCAGGTTCTCGATGTCTGCCAAGGCTGTAGTCATCTTAAGTCTTGATTCAGACAATAAGTACCGACTTCCAAGCTCACCCCTGTGGCTATTTCAGCCCCTCAGATTCTAGCTGTTTGTTGGCTGAAGACATCAGTTCCTTGATACATGGCAGCTCATCACACATCAGCTAGCTTCCCTCAGAGAAAGCAAGGGTGAAACAGAGTGAGCAAGATGGAAGTCACAGTCTTTTGTAAGCTAATCTTGGAAATGGCATCTCATGGCATTTGCTGTGTTCTTTTCCTTAGAAGCCAATCATTAGATCTGGGCCACATACAGGAAGAGGTCATTGCACAAGAGCATAAATACCATGAGGAGGGAGAGAGATGGGGGCCGTCACAGAAGCTGCCTATCACCACACTGCACACCATCTGATTCAACCAGTCTGGTTCCCTCTTCATCTCACAAGCACATTTCCTGACCCTGTCATAACTCTTAACTCACTTTATTCCTGGGCCTCTCTCCTTTACCAATCTGAAGTCAGACTGTCATTCAAGATGAGCTCAGATTCCATGTATTTCATGAAACTTGCCCCTGATTATACTTTACTCCTCTGAACTCCTTCATGTTTTATAATTATACTACATAATTTACCCCTTAATTACCTCCTGCCTTGCGTTATTATTCAAAGTATGTCTCTCTTAACTGCATAAGATTCAACTGAGAGTTTGTAAGAAACACAGAATCTCAAGCCCCTAAACCAGAATCTGTGGTTTAATAAGACACCCAGGTGATTTTCATGCCCATAAAGTCATGGGAAGCACCACTGAATTGTACCATTCTCTATTGTTTCACCTGTGTAAGTTCCATATCCTTGACTAGGCTTGTGAGTATTTGGAGAACTGGTACCATTTTCTATATTTGTTCTGCTCTTACACACACACACACACAAGCTTAGAATACAGATTAGTGCTGAGCACCCAGTAGATCACAAATTCAAGAAACACCTCTATGAACTGGCCAAATTCAGTAACAGGAATATATAGATAAATCAAATCCCAGCTCTGCTACTCACCAGATAGTGTGACTTTGGGCAAGTCATTTAATCACTCTACATTTTCAATTCTTTATCTGAATTAAAAGCAGACTACCTTAGAACCTCCAATTTTCATTTTATCTCTGAATATCTACTAATCCACAGTAACATTAGAATCAATATAGTTTGATATTGCTTAATAAATCAGAAAAGATTTTGGAACCTTTTAGTTCCTAAATGTCATAAACATGAACATCAGTAATAACTGCATTGTAGATGTGAGAAAATGTTGCTTAGTCCAGGATTGTTTAGCAAAAACCATAGAATTGTATAACCTATATTTGATTTCCCTTATAACTTAGGCCACATTGAATGTAAGCAAATTTTTACAGAAGCTTAAAACAGATTTTTGGCTGAAAAACAACAAGAGTTTGACTAGAACAGGTGAAATCTCCCCTTTCTTACACTTTGGAAGTCACCCCTATGCTCCTTAGCTCTGCCTTGGAAAAGGAGCTTCTGGCTCTGTAAGACTCAGATTAGAAACAAAGACTTTGCCTTCAAAAGAAAACTATGAATTTCCTCCTGGGGTTCACCATCTTCCCCTGTAAAAGAAGGAGCTGGATTTGTTATCCAGAGCAGCAGAATTAGGCTGAGTGAATAAAGAAATGGACATATAAACAAGTGGTGTTTTTTGTTTTCTGTTTTTAAGGTACTCAGTTGAATTTATTCTTCCTCCTCTAAGGTCAAATCCCACCCACAGAGTTTAAATTGGCACTTCCCCTGAGGACCTGGACGCCAATTACATCTTATCTTTTGATGTCTAAATCTCTTCAAGTTCAAGGACTTCACTTCATCTCTAGGAATAAGGGCTGTACTTCCCAGTAACCTCCCTCCCCATCATGTTGTCCTTGCTTCAGCCTTCAGTCCTCTCTTCTGCAGCGAAGAATCCAAATTTCCCACCAGAATTCTTAAACATCAGTTTACTTTACACATTTCATTTTTGGATTCTTTACTGTTAGAACAAGCTCTGAGTGTGGAAAACTGTTCTCACAGTGATAACAAGGCCGAACTGAACAATGGGGGCAAGAGAGCTGTGGCTCCAGATAAGGGGGCTAAGTTATGGGGCCATGCATGCCTTCACACTTATTTCTCTAAAATTCATCATAGCTCTTAACTTCATGCAGAACTCCTAGAAAAATATACAGTCCAGCTACCTACCTTTAAATTTATGAGACGAATGATGGTGGTGATGATGACGATAACAATAATAACACTAGTAATTGATGCTGTTAGCCACCTCTGAACAGAAGCATATTTTTAGTTTCAGTCCTCAGGCTCCAAAGTGGTTCACATGATGCAAACTGGCCTTGTAGTCAGCGTTTTGGCATTTTCATTTGATTTCTCTGCCCACTCTCCCCTGTTGGCACTGGCCTGCACTTTGAAATGAATTGCTGTTCCTGTGCAAACTGGACAACAAGAACAGTTACCAGACTTTGAGATCACTCAGGACATGCAGGTTTCCAGAGATCATTATCTTAGAAGCACAAATTCAAGAATAAATATGGGAGCTCAAAATCCACCTAAAGAAGAGAGAACTCTTGTACCCCTCTGGCAGGTAATTTCTGCCCACAGCCAAATAATACTTTGGTAATGTCATCCTGAAACTATTTCTTCTATGCGGCCAACCTCGGGTACTTGGACAGAAGCACGATAGCCATCACAGAGAAAAGAGATGCAATGACAATAACACAGGACCAAGGACAGGGACCCGGGTTCTAGTCCCAGTTCCACCACTAACTTTAACATTGAGTGAGCCACTTCTCCCAGGTGCTTAGCTTTCTCTGTGAAAGGTAATAGTTAGATACTACAGTTTCCAACTTGAACTTACCTGATCATCAGTATCTTGTAGGACATTTATTATAAATATAGATTTTCAGACTGCTCCCTGGAGATGCTGGTTCGGTACAGTTAGCAGTGGCATTCATGAGTTTGCATTTTAACAAGTGACCCAGGAAAGTCTTTATATAAGCAAGTTTAGGAAACACAGGCCACATGACAACAGAAAGCTCTTCCGGGTATGCAGTTCTGCAGAATCAAGTTAATTAATGGTCATGATTAAGCTTCTACTCACTACAAAGCTCTGCTAGATCCTAAAAATGATAGGAATAATAGCTAACATTTGTATAGTACTAGTAACTATTTTAAAGGCTTTGCGTATATGAACTATTTTAATCATCACAACAACCTTCTGAATCAGATACTATTATTACCCTTATTATAAGACACAGAAACAGATGCACAGAGATTAAGTGATTTTCCAAAGATGACTTGGCCAGTAAGGAGGTAGGATTGGGATTCAAGCCAAGGCACCCCAGTTATAGAGTCTAGCCTCTCAACTGCTCTGCTCTACCAAGCTTCAGCCTTCCTGTAGATGCTGAACAGCTCAGAACTCCTCAACATCAGGCACTTGGTGGACAATAAGAAAAGCCCTCTAATAACTAATAACAGTACCTTAAGGTTATAGTTTGAATGTGTCCCCCAAAGTTGATGTGTTGGAAATGTAACGCCCAATGTAACAGTGTTGAGAAGCAGGACTCTAAGTGGTGACTAAGTCATGGTGATTCTGCCCTCATGAATAGATTAATGCCATTATCACAAGAGTGGGTTAGTTATTGCTGGAGTGGGTTCCTGATAAAGAGGATGTGTTCCACCCACTCTGCCACCCTTTGTGTGCTCTCTCACCCAACTCTTCTACTATGAGATGATGCAGCAAGAAGGCCTTCACCAGATTTGGGCCCCTTGACTTTAGAATTCTCAGCCTCCAGAACTATAAGAAACAAATCTCTGTTCTTTATAAACTCTCTAGTCTTGGGCATTCTGTTATAGGAACAGAAATGTCTAAGACACTTAACAACCATCTACATCATCTAGATCATTCTTAGGAGCCAGGGTGAGGGCAATAGGGAAGCCAAAAGGCAAACCCTAGGCTTCACCCCTGTTTCAATCAAAGAAAACTGATTTTGTCTTTTGGTATATGTCACATTTCATTTGAGGAAAAAAAAAATCTTGTGATTAAAAATGAGATGTTAGAAAACCTTTTATCATGTAGATGAGAAAACTGATCCCAAAAGATAAAGAAAGTTTTCCAGATTCCAGGAATAAGAAGTCCTTGGCCATGGCTTCTAAAGTCCCAGGTTTCCAGACGCTTTTCAACAGAATCAAAATGAACTTGTCACCCAGATGGACTTGATAAAAACCCATTAAAATTAGCATAGATTAATAAAGTAACCACTGGAGAACTGAAGAAACTGGGGCAGCAGCATTTGAGAGGGGACATGCACAGTGACACCAAATGGAACAGAAGATGACTCAAATCAATGGCTGTATCAATATTCACAACTGTCTCCTCCAGTAACTGTAGCATCACCAAAAATCAGGGGGAAAAGCCCACTCAACTTGTGTTGAAGTGGAAAGATGACTACAAGTGGAGTAGGAGGACTTACTTATGAACTCTAGCTATGCCATTTATTACCTGGATGATGACATTAGTGATTAGACAAACCATCAATATGAGGCTTTCATGAGATCATATATGTCAGTAAGTCCAGGACTTTGAAGACGTAGTAAACATAACAATCTTTTAGACCAGAAGCTCCCACTCACAGTATGGTATTACTGGCTTTACCTGAAAGTACAATTCATGATGTTGAGAGGAAGGCTGATCATATAAATAGGGATCCAAACCCCTGGGAAATTTCCCTGAGCTCCCCCTTCCTTTGAACTTCTGTGGGCATGATGATAATCATAAAGAAATAATCTTCAGTGGTTGGGCAGCAGCAAGCCCAGAAGATGAGCTGCCACATAGATGCTGTGACCGTTATCAGTGATTCTATGAACGACTCTGTTTTGCCACCCAGGCACCACTCAGAGATCACCAGAGGTTTGAGGTTAATGAGTACGTTGGCACAGAGACTAGTATTACTGATACCACACGCTATTTTTTTCTCTCTTCTGCCACTGGTTAGTAGATGAAGAGAGAGTTATGTCAGCCTCAAGGGCAGATTGCAAGAGGGAAGACACTGGAATATCGGAATAGTGCCATGACCCAAGGAAGAGGCTTCATTGCAAATCATGCTAATATGTGTATTCCCCCTGCTCGAGACTAAGAACTCCTAGAAGGAACATCTGATAAAATGTGTAAGTCCTTCGTCATCCATCCTGATTTCTCATCATTAGTTTTATTGACAAATGAATCAAGTGTTAAAATGCTTCAGGGAAATTGATGAAAGAAAAAGTTAAAGTTAAAAACCTTCTATGACTAACCTGACCTGTTTCTGACAACTGACAAAAGCCCTCTTTTATTAGGCTTCAGCCTGATTAAGCTCAGGATGAATAATTACCCCTTGCTTGAGGGCTTACTATGGGCCAGAGAGGTGTCTTATCTCTGATCCCAACAACTACCTTGCAAGTTAGATATTATCACATTAATTTTACAGACAAGGCAACAGAGACTGGAAGAGTTTACTAGTCTAGTGTCCCAAAGCTAATATGTGTCAAATTCAGGATTTGACTCCAGACTCTGCTGACTGCAAACCTCTCCAGTTTGCAGGACCAGATTCAGACTTCTTCACTTGACCCAAAGAGGCCTTCAAGACCCAATCTGTTTGTAGCCTGAGGGCCTACCACATTCCACATCTACCACATGTAGCCCTCACTACAGGATACCTTGCAGAGGCCTGCATGTGTCACAGCATGACTCACCTCCTTGCCTTCTCCCATGAAATCCCTTCTGCCTGGAGTTTTATTCTTCCTTCTTTATGCAGTTATATCCAGTTGCTCTTCAACACTCAGCTCAAACCACATTCTCCAAGAAGGTCACCTGTGATACTCCTCAAGCTAATATAACTTCTGCTTTGTTGGATTCCCCATAGCAGCCTGGACAAATTTCTATGTAATCATTTATCAATTACATTTAACTACAGTTCATAATTTATTTTTATCTCCCTCACTAGGCATACACCAACTTGAGGGGGAAAGAGAGTTTATTTAATTTTTATTCTCAGGCTTAGCATAGTACTAAATGAGTAGATACTCATCTACTCTATAAATATTTGAGCAAATGAATGATTACAAAAGTGAATAAACTGATGATTTAACTTCCAGGACTATCTTAAAGGCTCAGTTAATTTAATCTCATGTGTTTATCCAAGTGTAACCCTTCTCCTCCACCAGGAACTCCTCGATACAGGAGTCTCTCTTGTCCTTCCTTTATAATCTCTGGAACCTATTTGCCCATGATTCAATAATGGCTGAATGACTTTCTATCGACACTATCTCTATTTGAATGAAGAACAATATACTATATGACAATTAGACACCACGTAAAATGGACTTCTAATGGGCTTAAAATGTTAATGTATAAAACAAGTACTACAATAAAATGTAAGGTAACATATACATGTATACATATATACGCATATATACATGCCTATATACATATGTGAATAGGAAAGGACTTATGAGTCATGACACAAATCTCAATAGCCAAGAGAAAAGACTCTTACAACACAAAAATGTAAAAACTTCTGAAGGGGAAAAAAAAACTCTATGCACCAAGTTTACACACAGCAAAATGAGGAAAATATATTCACATATATGACAACGGCCACAAAAATGTTAGCATTTTTGATACCTACAGAGCACCTTCAAATCAGAGAAAAAACAAACAAACAAACAAAAATTACACAAAAAGGAAGTTTTCAAATGAAGAAATGCAGATGACCAAGACAACATGAAAGTGTCACATCACTAATTGGATTGAACTATAAATTTAAACATCAGTGTCATATTTCTCACTAATTTTATGGAAATCACAAAGCACATGAGAAAATGGACCTATGCAGTTGGGGGCAGTTTTAAAGTATGCTTTTGAGGCTGGACGTGGTGGCTCACGCCTGTAATCCCAGCATTTTGGAAAGCTGAGGCAGGTGGATCACCTGAGGTCAGGGGTTCGAGACCAGCCTGGCCAACATGGTGAAACCCCATCTCTAGCTGGGCATGGTGGCAGGCACCTGTAATCACAGCTGCTTGGGAAGGTGAGGCAGGAGAATAGCTTGAACCTGTGAGGCAGAGGTGGGAGTGAGCCGAGATCATGCCATTGTACACCAGCTTGGGTGACAGACGGAGTCTCCAAAATAAATAAATAGATTAATTAATTAATTAAAGTATATTTTTGGAGATAAGCAGTGTGTTTTAAAACAAGGGAATATACTTGAAACAACTCTAGAAATTTATCATAAGAAATTGAGATAATGCTGAAGCAGCTAAACAAGGATGTTTGGTTGCTTCATTGTTTAGATAATAGCAAAAACAAGAAACAAAACAATCTAATTTTCTATCAAGAGTGAATTAGGGTTTTTAATTATAGATAAATTATATGTCATATAAAGTTACATATTGAGAGACA